GACAAGTTTATATATAAAATCAAGCACAAAACTTTACGTTTTTGTTCCTCCTACTGGCACAGCAGCAATAAACAAACTTGAAGGAACTGATGTCACCTTTGAAGTATGACCCAGTTCTCTGGCTGCACATCAGATACCCAGAGTTTTGAATAGAGACACAAACTCCACAGTGTGTTCTTACCATCAAACTGGTTCCTTGAGCACCAGCACTCAGAGGTCCCTATAAAGTAAATGTGAAGAGGGAAAAATGCATTTTAACAAGAAACAACAAAGCCACCGCTTGAATTTACATAAATCAAGTGGAATATTTTATTTTACTTGAAAACAGAAGCAAGAAAATTCTGCTGTGAGTGTGACATAGAGACAGGCACACAGAATTAGTGCGAATGAGAGCAAAGACCCATGAAGACAATGCGAGTGTGTGTTTGTGTGTGAGAGAGAGACAGCGGGACTGTGTGTGTACCTGCTTGTCTGATCCTGAGCCAACAGACATCTCCAGCTCAGCTAGACGCTTCTCCAATTCCGCCATCTACAGAGACGGAACAGGCAACACATGGCTGGCTGTGACAACAAGCATCCCACAAGAGACACACAAACACCCACATGTATACCTTCCTCCTTTTGTCCTGCTTATTGCCATCGAGTATTCTGACATTCCACTCAGAAGAGCAGAAACAAAGCGCGTCGAGGAGACCATACAGCCTCATTTTATGTGTGCATTCATCTCAGACATTTATCCACCTCTCTTTCCTCTTTACCTTGGCAGACTCATTAAATTTCTCCTGCTCTGGTCTGCTGTGCAACTCGTAGAGTACCACTCCATCTGGGCCCTTAGTTAATGCTGTCGGCTTGCTGTCTCCTGCAGCGCTGCCACGGCTGCCCTTAGCGGCTTCCAGCTGGGTGAGCAGACGCCTATGAGAAGGGAAGAAAGACACAAAGGGATAATATGTTCACTATTGTTACCAACCCCATGTGCTGCCATGAGTGTGGTCCTCCCTCCCTCTCAATCCTTTAAGTCAGTGTTATTAACTGCAAGTGAAGGTTTGTGAAGGTGTTTTCCTCACTTTTTCTTTACTTTCTCTCATTTGTGTTTTTCCCTTTTAATCCCACGGCTTCCTTTGCTTATGCTCAGTTGGGCGCTGGCATTTTTCAAAGATTTCTGTGTTCTTTTAGTTAATTTCCCTCCCTCGATCATCCGTCCCTTAGTTGTGTTGTGCTCCTGGTAGAGGTGGGAATCACCATACATCCCACCATACGATATTATTGCAATTTTTAAAAATATTTTGCGATATTCAGATTCTGTACATAAAGGTAAACTTTATCAATATTCATTTTATCTAATATCAAAGTCTCACACTCAGTTTTTCTCTCATTTCAGTTTTATTGTTGACAAACTGAACGGTTTGTATTACAGTCTAGTCCAACTTAACTG